CGGCTCAGGGCTTTCTAGCCTGGGTGGGGCTTCACACAGGGAAGGCCCTTTCAAATCCGACAGCAGCCTTGAGGACGCATACCAGCCGCTGGAAATTGTGCGATCGGGAGGTGAGAGGGAAAACAGAGCAAAGCCCTCTGAGTCCTGACAGGGCCCCTTCCCCTAAAATGTCTGAGTGCCTCTTGTGTGGGCTTCCATATTCCAGTCACTCTGCTGTAAAGTCTGCCACATCGCGAAGCAGATTCTGTGAGGCTGTGCCCCGGTTGCGTGATTTCTTGCGCAGATCCCAACGTAGCTCGGTCACACGCCCAGTCGGCAGGTGTGTGCTAAAGCAAGCTGGCGCAGGTGTCTGGCTGCGGTCCTCACAGGCGTCAGCTGGCTCTACCTGCTTCCCATTAAACGCGTCATGATGACAGCAGAGGGGTGACTGAGCTACTTGTGACCTTAGGGAGGCCGCAGAGTGCCTGTGGTGGGTGCCAGGGCCAAACTCCAGGGGTCTGAATTCTGGTTCTGCCACTTGAGAGCCATGTGACTTAAGGACTGTCGATGGAGTAGCTGTGTGTGTGTTCAACACTGCCTTTCCCTGTTCTCTGAAGACCAGGACAGCCTAGACAAGACAGCTACAGGCCACAACTCTTCAGTGGCTGCTCCACACAGTCCCATGCAAGTGACATGTGACCAGAGGGTGTGAGACGTAATCAAGATGGCTGCTGCCCTCCCCCTGGGAACCTCAGGCTTGGTGAGCCTCACCCCAGCTTATGAGCAAGAGAGGCCTTGACCTCCCCGCTATCTAATGCACAGGCGCTTCCAGAGCACTTACCAGCATGTCAGAATCTTGGAATTTGGCCCGAGGAAGGAGCCCCAGGGCGGTGAAGCGAACAGCCAGCTTGTGGGAGGACTCTGGGTCCAGCAGCCGCTGCAGAGCAGGCATCAAGTATTCAGCGTAGAAATGCTCATCCCCCGTGGCTGTCAGGTAGGAGGCGAAGAAAAGCCCTCCACCTCCCAGGATGACCACAGCGTCTAGGGCCCGCTTCTGGTTAAAAAAAAGTACATCAGGGTCACTGCCAGGCCAGGCTGGGCACCCTCCCTGCACCCCTTACGCCCAGACAGCTGCGACACAGTGGCAGGTCCATGAAGTGACATCCCTACCGCTGCTGCCACTGGTCCCCTTCATTTCCGGTCCTGCCCCACCTGCTGGCTTCATACAGAGGCTGTGTCCCTCAACATTTTCCTTAGGACACTAGGCCAGGGGGTTTCAGGTGGAGTACTGCCCCCTAGAGGCCATGGGGAGTATTTTCCACTCAAGCTTTTTTTTTTTTTTCTTTTTGCCAGTCCTGGGGCTTGACTTCAGGGCCCAGGCACTGTCCCTGAGCTTTTTTGCTCAAAGCTTAACACTCTACCATTTGAGCCACAGCGCCACTTCTGGCCTTTTCTGTTTGTGTGGTACTGAGGAACTGAACCCAGGGCTTCATGCATGCTAGGCAAGCACTCTACCACTGAGCCACTTTCCCAGCCCCAGTATAACTTTTGAATGTCCAAGGCAAACTATCACCTTCATGGTTCTCATATGCTGACATTTCAGGAATCATTCCCCTATAAACTGAGGGACAGCTGTGCTGTTTTGTGTCACGCATTACTAAGAACCAAGTCACATCTCAGAAATTAGGAAAGGCAGCCAGGCGCTGGTGATTCATGCCTGTCATCTAGCTACTCAGGAGGCTGAGATCTGAGGATTGCGGTTCAAAGCCAGCCGGGACAGGAAAGTTCATGAGACTTTTATCTCTGATAAAGCACTAGAAAACTGGAAGTGGCGCTGTGGCTCAAGCAGTGGAGTGCTCGCCTTGAGCTGAAGAGCTGAGGGACAGCGCCCAAGCCCTGAGTTCAAGCCCCATGACCGACCAAAAAAAAGAAATTAGGAAAGGCACAGCACTTGGGGCTTTTGACAACATGCCTGTGGCACCCACATTTCTTGTACAGACTTAACCACTCAACAACCTGTTTTCGAGATGAGTCAGGACCCAATGACACACATTGAAATAAATACATGTTGTTTTATTTCTCCTTTATACTGTGATTAGAACATCATGTTGACGTGTTAAGTTACACATGGGAAGGTTATCAGCCTGCAGTGGAACCTCGGTGAAATGTAAAGGTGGTGGTAGTGGAGAAGGCGCCTCAGGTCTTACTATGTGGACACTCGGTGTCACTCATCAGCTCAAGCACTACTCAAATGTGACTGAGGCTAAAAGTGGGGGAAATGTAGCTGGTCCAGCCTTTGAGGTGAGTGCAATCTCATGAAGAGACAGACATCAATGACTGTGCCAATATGTAGTCATGACAATTGCTGTAAAGGAAAAAAGTAGGGGAAATAGAAGGACACAACAAATCTCAGCTAAGGAAAGGCTTCCTTACAAGGCTGACTTGAAGCAGATACGAAAGGATAAAGAGTTAACAAGGAAGCTGGGCGCTGGTGGCTACGCCTGTAATCCTAGCCACTCAGGAGGCTGAGGTCTGAGGATCGCAGTTCAAAGCCAGCCTGGGCAGGAGAGACCGTGAGACTCCTATCTCCAATAAACCACCAGAAAACCGGAAGTGGCACTGTAGCTCAAGTGGTAGAGCGCTGGCCTTGAGCTGAAGAGCTGAGGGACAGCGCCCAGGCCCAGAGTTCAAGCCCCACGACCGACAAAAAAAAAAAGAGTTAACAAGGAGGGCGCAGCCTGTAATCCAGATTACTGGGAGGCGGAAAATGGGGAAGACAGCCATTTCAGGCTAACTCTACCAAAGCTAGCAAGAATCCATCTTAATAAGCCTTGTGTGCTGCTGTATGCCTGTCCACAGCTATGAGGGAAGCCATAAGATCCTAGACCAAGAATGTGTGCAGGCAGGACCTCATCTAGAAAATTATTTTAAACGGCTGGAGGTATGTCTCAATAGGTAGACCATGAAGCCCTGAGTTCAAACCCAGTACTGCTCAAAAAAAAGGAGGCAGTAGAGGAAGGGCAGGGAGAAGGCTCTGTTGGTAGCAGAAGAAAAGCTGGGGGTGGGGGACATTTGGATCTGGGTGTAGGAAAGCATGCCAATCCTTGCCACTGAGGAGGCTGAGAACTGTGGATCGCAGCCCCAGCAAACAAATCTATGAGGCTCTTACCTCCAGCTAACCAGCAAAAGCCCAGAACTGCAGGCGTGGTTCAAGTAGTAGAGTACCAGCCGTGGGTAAACCCAAGCAGGAGCACTGAGGCTTTTAAGTTCAAGCCTCCATGCCAGACAAATAGTTTTTTAGGCGGGAGTAGCGGTGGTGGTAGTAGTAGATTTGGGTTTGTTCTCTAAACAAAACTAGCAGATGACGCGATCAGAGAAGCCTTCTCCAGGAAACTGCAGAGGCGCCGCTCCGCTCACTCCACAAAGAAGCACCTATTCGCTAGGACCTCAGGGGTCCACCGAGCTCAGCTCCCGCGCGCGACCCTCCACAGAGCGTCAGAAGGGTCGGGACACGTCGCGCTCTAACTTAATCCCTTCCGCGCAGGACCCTTGCCCGGCTGGGCGGTCGGGCGTTCCTTCTCGAAGGCCCCCGGTGCTGGGCCCAGGTAAGATGTGGCCCACCTGCACTCACATGGCTCGCCGTGTGTCCCACACCTGGCTAAGGCCTGGGTGTCGACGCTGTCCTCCGTCCTCCCCCGCCCAAGGGCGTCCGCACCGCGGCGCCTACCTCCCAAGCAAGACTCACTTTCAGATGTGCCCACGCCATGCTCCTTCTGCCAGCGGGCCCGCCCCTGTCCCACCCCCATTGAAGGATGTACTGGAGGCACCGCCCATCTGTTTCCGGATCTACCAATCATGGGACAGGGCATTGCACTAGGGGAAGAGGGCCCTCGTGCCCTTCCCGGAGGTTCTGATTGGGCAGTTGTGCGCGTGCGCAGTCCCGAAGCCCCGCCCCTCCTGCTCCCCTCGGGGCGTCTGGTTGCTAAGCGTCCGGAGGTGCCGGCGGGCACCTGGGCGCTGGGGCCTGGCGAGCCGGCCTGGCCGCCGCACCGGGCTCGTCCGCAGTGCCTGGGGGAGCTGGCGCCCTGGACTGGAAAGGCCTCCGGGCCGGTCGTCCGGAGGTCGCACTGCGTTCCTGCCTCCTCATCCGTGGCGCAGAGAGGGCGCCCCAGCCCGGAGGCCTCCCCGGACCGACGTGCGGGGCAGACAGACTCCAAGCGGAGCCTTCGCTTCGTCTACAGCGGTGCTCATTAGCATGGAGGTTGCTCCAGATTTTAACCGTCGCTTGGTCCTGGGTCCAGCGTCTATTGGATGAGGTTTCTGAGCCTGCGTCAAATTCCTGGTGCCACAGATTGGAGAATGGCTTGTCAGCAGCACCTGAGCTTGCAGCTTCGGCGCAGTGTTGATGCTGCAGTGATCTGAGCTGACCTGACGTGTCGCTCTTAGTCCTCAAATGTTGTCCCAATCCAGAGTCTTGAGCTCTAAGCACTTCCTGTTGGGACACAGCTTCTCTGGACCAAGTCTCAAGAGCAATAGTTATATTGTTGGGGGAGGTGGGGGCTTCCTTTTTTTCTTCCTAACTGCTGTTCCGCCTGCTCAAACAGCTGAGCATTGTCCTAGGAATTAAAGCAGCAGTGGAGGATTGTATATGAGGATGTCAAGTTGGAATAAATGGAAAGACCTGATGGACAGATTCTGTGACAATAATTCATAAGATAGGTGTCTCAAACCATACAACAGATTGAAAATATTAAGTTTAAAGGTTACACTTGTCACTGTGTCCTTTTTTTGTTGTTGTTTCTCATGCTTTATTTATGACAAATATTCCACACTCCAAATTTCCAACTGTCAAGTTCTTTGAGACGATGCCATCAGCCTTGGCCAATCAGAGAATGGAGTCATCTGACTCATTCATCCTGCGAATGGCCCCGCAATTAGTGGTATGTCTTTAACTGGCCGTTAAACCTGTGATCTTGTCGACCTCAGCCACATTCGTCTGGATGGATGCCGGTCCTCGCACGATGATGCAGTTGCTGGTGGAGCACTTCCAAGGCACGTACAGGACTCCCAGGCCTGGTTGTGCATCGAAGCCGCAGCTGCTGCAGCCTCCAGGACCAGCAGGAGCACAGAAAAGCTCAATGTGTCTTTTATACTTGAATAAGTTAAGCATAACTCGACCACAATTGCGACTCACCTTGGACAGAAACTACTTATTAAAAGGGTTCTTGGAGCCTGGAGCCCATGTACTCTACTGGTAGTCTTTCTGGAGGCCGAGATGTGAGGATCATGGTTCAAAGCCTGCCTCAGCAGGAAAGTCTGGGAGACTCTTATCTCCAATAAACTACCACACAAAAAAAGTGGAGCTATGGCCCAAGAGGTAGATCCCTAGCCTTGAGCAAAAAATTCTCAGGGCCAGTGCTCCGGCCCTGAGTTCAGGCGCCAGGACCAATGCCTGGATGTGTGCGCTGCGCATGCGGGAAGTGAGAGGAGAGCTGGAATGTAGTTCAGTGGCAGAGTACTTGCCTAGCACGTGCAAGGCCCTGGGTTTAGTCTCTTGCATTGCAAAATTAAAAGTTGATTAAGAAAACATTGTCCAAATAGAAATGTACTC